AGCACACGGGCTGAGAATCAAACATCCCACCTCTCCTTCCCCTCCGTTAGCAAATGGGAGCCAGAGGGCTGAGCATCTCTTGGGAGGTTGACCATACGCAGTACAGCAAACAGGGGGGATTTCCTTCTGCCATCTCATTGAAGGCAAATATTGTTAGCACTGTTTTGCTGTATTCTGATTAATTGTGCTGCTCTATTCAATACTCTGTTTTGATAGGCTTTATGGTGTTCTGTATTTGGTTTGATTTTGCTATACCTGATTGAAAGGACAACTATTGTGAAGATAATGAGATGTACTATGGTACCTATTGCTGTTATCCCGGTAACCTGCTGTGACGTTCTGTTACCAATTTCACTGCATTGTCTTGACTGTCTTGCTCTTTTTATTCTGTTGTTTTGTTTCATACTGGGGATCAAACTCACAAAGTCGTGCTTGCAAGGCAGGTGCTTATACCACTGAGCTAAATCCCCGGCTATTCCTGTCTTGTTCTGTTGTACTTTACTACTTTCAAAATAAAAATTGTATATGTAATTATACAAAATTTCCCCAAAAAATATTTTCGTCAATTTTCACAACAAATTTGCAAAAGTAGAACTGCTTCTGCTCCATAAATAATGGAACTAAGACTCAGGAAGCCTGAACTGCTGCTTGGCCTCCGCTGAGTGCCAGGACTAGTCTTGAGCCACAGCGCTGCCTGCGTCCAGAGGTGCTGCTCCGCCCACTGTACTGAGGACACCACGCTTCTAGATTTCAGGGGCCAGCAGTGTTTCCAAACACACTGGGCACTGGAGAAGTACGTAACTGAGAGGCACCAATTATACATTTTACCAGCTACGGACTAGACCTTCAAAAAACAAACAAGACTATCTACTTAACTATCACGGTTAAAACATAAAGAAGATTTTAACATAAAAAAACTAGAAAGAACCATGTAATGACACACTTATTTATATTTATGCAGCAAATGTCACAAACAGGTGGTGTTTGAGAATCAACTGCAGCCATCAGGGGATGCTTTTTGAATCCATATCTACATTCATTTGGGTTTATTATATAGTGATTATCACAGCTCTTCACCTATCTTTTCCCAACAAAATAAAGAGTTCATAAAAGTCAACAGATTTTTTACAGAGAGTTTCCACAGGCCTTCTCCTATGGCACCAAAAATACCTTTTGATGCTAAAGCCATCGTTAAACAGATTATTTGGGGGGGCTGGGGATTTAGCTCAGTGGCATAAGTGCCTGCCTTGCAAGCAGGCAGTCGTGAGTTTGATCCTTGGTACCGATAAAAAGGAAAAAGACAAAAAAAAAATTTAAAAAAAAAGAGATTATTTTTGTTTTCTTTAAAGAGGTAAAAGTGCTGCCACTGAGAGCTAACAAAAGTACAAGCTTCACATAAAGCCAGTCGTACAGCATTTTTGCACTACCTGAAATTTCAGTCTTCAACAGCGCATCATTTTAGCGACAGAGAGACTTGGAGAAGCTCTGCGCATACAAGTCATTGTCTTCAGAATTCTAAACTCGCAGGCTAGGAAACGTTGCTTTATTAGCTGCAAACTACTGGATTCAACAGTGCGGAGCTTTCATTTTAATTTCATATACATCTTCGTCAGGAGTAAAATACTGTCTTTGGAAAGAGAATAACACCTTATACCTAACTTCCATGACTTTAACTGTCCAGAAAACACTGTCATAGGACTCACCTGTCTGGCAATTCCTAGTAGCCGTTGGACAACTCCATGCATCCAGAAAAGCATAAATCTAGTAAGCACCGTAAACTCTTAACTACCCAGCACAGTAAGGAAATGTAGTATTCCAATATTCACACCGGAAGAGTCACCTGACATTAATTATGCCCCAAAAACAGGATGAAAAAGTCAGCGTGTTGGTAATTTATGGATAACAATTTTTCTGAGCATTACAATGTCATAAAGTAGCGTACCTAATAAGCCACAGTGAACACTGTTAATCTTTCTGATGGTTCACAAGTTTCTGCAGGATTCCTAGTAGACAGGGTTTGTCTCCGCCCAACAGTAATGTTCCAATTAACATCACGTTCTAGGGGAAGACACGCCAGGTGGTCACTGACTGTATTATTTCTTTTAAAATAAAAGTCGGCAGTAAACAACTGACTTGGGGCCAGACTGTGTTTGAATTTGGCTCTTCTGTTCCCCAGCTGTGGGAACACACCAAAGCAAACACCTGAGCAAAGCACCGACCCTGCCAGGGTCCTCTCCTCAGTGTAAAATCTCCTCCCTGGAGCGCTGGATCCGCTCCCGAATGCATCAGGGATCCAGGTGCAAAGTCTGACCCGCCCCGGTACAGGGATCACCAGAACTCACCAAGAACATGAGGCCGTCAGGCCTGACATGCTGCTGTCACTGACCCTACGTCTAGAGGGTTAACTATTGCAGAAGGGGCAGGAAGGGAGATGGAGACACGCAGGACTAGGAACAGGCGGTGTGGGCTGGGATGCAGCTCAGCGGTAGACTGTGCCTGTCACGTGCAGGGTTCAACCCCCAGCACGAGGAAGACAGAAAGGGTCATAACACCGAAGCTCCCTCCCTGGCTCCATCCTATCAAAAGTCACGGCCGCCTTGCCACAGAGGCTCAGGAGCGCCCCCTGGGGGTGGACTGTTGCATGCCTTGCCGGGTTAATGACTGAACCATAGTTAAGTCATTTCAGAAAAATAAATAGAACTGTAAAGAAAGTCTTTTTATTCCAGCTGAGTTTTTAAAATTTCTCCTAGGAATTTATGAATTATCCACATTAAGGTCACTGAATAGTTCTGTGGTGTTATAAATAACTCTGTTCACTGTTTTTAATGCTTAGTGCTTAACTCAGCAATTTGGAAGGTATTCTAATATCACCACAAACCACACAAGAACCCCAGGAGATCACAGATGCTCAGACTGGCAGCTCTAGGAGAACAAAGTCAGTTATTCCGATGGCTCACTTAGTGTTCTGAGCAGAAATTACCGGCAGGAAAATGTAAGGCTTTTTTGTTCTGTTTCTGTTTTTGTTTTGCAGTACTGAGAACCGAACCCGAAGCCTTCACACTGAGCTATATTCCCAATCTTTACCTATTTATTTTTTTTAAAATAGGAGACAGGATCTTTCTAAGTTGCTCAGGCTGGGCTTAAACTTGTGGTTCTCCTGCCTCAGCCTCCCATGGTGCTGGCATTGCAGATACAAGCCACTGTATCTAGCTAAGTAAGTTCCTAATGTACAGATTCTCCTGGCTCTCTAAGTTTAGCACAGAAATGAGATGAATAATACGCGGTTCATAGTGTAAGCCACCAAATACACAGGTACCAAGACTCTACCATGAAACAACTAAGGTATCTGGCGGCCTTTCTAATGTTCCTGTTAGGTAACTGACACCAAAACACTTGATGCCTTGACTGCACGTTCGGAATTCCCAGTGCATGGTGACGGAGCTGAGAAAGGGCCTGGCCCATCTGAACAACTTGAGGCTTATGTATTTAGACTTCTTTTTGTTGGTAAGTAAAAGCTCAGACTTTTACAGTAGACTAACTGGGCAGTAGCAAATAATATCAGTTTGATAAAGTTACCAAGTATATCAGCATACTCGAATTGTGTTCAAAAGAAACCCCCAATTGTTTACTAAAATTGAAATTCTACCTGAAGCTTTCATGGATAATAACTGGACATACGGAAAGCCATGCAACTATCTAAACCAAACTTCTCGGAAACATAAAAGGGTAATATTTTCAGGAAAATGTTTTCCTTAAAGACTTTGAATTTTTTTATTTAAAAAGCTATATTCCATACAATTTCTATAAATTATTCTATTAATTTTCCCATAAACAAAGCCTGGATGTAAACACTTCCTCTAATACTGAAAGCTGGGCCTTTTCCCATGTCTACAACCCCAGCATTCAGGAGTGCGAAGCCAACCTGGGCTACACAGTGAGTTCAAGGCCAACCTGAACTACACAGCAAGCCCGTTTCAAAAAAAAAGACAAAAAAGTAAAGAAAAAAACTGGGTCTTTGGCAGGAACTATTCATAATTTAGAGTAAGTTGAGAGAAAAGCATTTGAGATCAGTTTTCAAATTAATATAAACTCACTATTGTTTTGTTTTGCTTTGTTTGGTACCAGGGATTGAACTCATGACTTCATGCTTGCCAGGCAGGCACGTATACCACGGAGTTAAATCCCCAGCCTAAACTCAGTTTTGAAGGATTAATTTAGGGAGCAGTTCACACATATTTTCCTACACTGGTCAGATAATGAATTTCTAAGGAAAATTTTAATACCTGGCAAGAGGCTGAGATGACAGCCCAATTTACTTTAAGCAAGTCCCATTCCCCTCTCCATCCCAAATTCTCCAAACTAGAGGCAATGTCTGTGCTCTTGGAAGAATAATGAGGTAAACCATCACATCTGGATAATCTACATTAGGCTGGGCATGGTGGTGCAGGCCTGTAATTCCAGCACCAGAAGGCTAAGGTAGGAGGATCACAAGTCTAAGGCCAGCCTGGGCGACACAGTGAACCCAGAGCCAACCTGAATTACACAGCAAAACCCAGCCTCCAAAAAAAAAGTCTACATAAATTGTAAAAACAACAGCAAAAGACACATGGTTTCTACTCTGCAGGAAGTAGGAAGAAGCAGATCTCTCTCCAGGAAGAAGCCTCTCCAGGAAGAAGCAGATCTCACACACTTTGGAGAGTCAGAGGTGGAGCCAGAGCTCGGTCTGCTGTTGGAGCGGCAGCTGGCCGTCCCCAGGCAGCAGCAGAGCAGGGCAGGCTGCGTACACACGAGGCTGAGAGCGGCAGCTCCTGCCCACGAAGGGGCACACCCACGCCAGCCAAGGCCTCGCCAGCAGATTCACCCTCAAACCCCCGACAGACACTTAAAACAGAGCTCAGGATCACAGCAGCAGTGTGGAAGGGGGCCCAGACTCCCTCCTGTCTTAAAATAAGGTCGCTTTCCTCCCACTCTAGAAAGTGGGGGGACTGTGGCGTGGATACATCTGATGTGTTGACACCGCTCTCAGCAGTAAATCCTTCAGAAGGGCGATCTTCTCCTTCAGGTTCTGCAGCGAAGTCCGGATGGCCACGGTGAGCTGTGAAGGAAAACACAGCCTGAGTCTTCCAGTCCAGGGACGCGAAACTGCTAAATCTACCAGGTAAATCTGGCTGCAATCATGGACAGGCCGGAAAAGATGCTTAGCGTCCCAGGGACAAATGCAGGAGTGAGATGGTGACCTGGTCCAGCACGCCGCTAAGTCTTGGGCGCTCCCAAAAGCCTGCCCAAGGGCAACCCGGTCTGTATCTCACAGTGGACTCTGACTGGAAGCCGCCAATCTCTCCTCCTGCTCAGCTGAATTCTGTCCCTGAGCGCTACCCATGGACCCCATTTATCTACCCTGAGGCCATGCAGGAAAGTATCTACCCTGAGGCCATGCAGGAAAGTATCACCGCAAGTCTCCACTCCACTGCAAAAAAACCCCACAACTCCCTCAACCATGATTCAAACAACACAGCGCTTTCTGAACCAGGCACTCAAGTGGTGTATCTATAACCATTTGAACGGTTTATAGCAAAGTGTTCTTTTTATACGAAAGGAATATGAACACGCAGGACTCTTTTTCCAAGACTGAGTTTTCTCCAACTATTCTAAAAGGCCAGAAGACACTTCTATTTGTGAATCAAATGTGCCATATTAGACAATGGACAGGCACAGGGCAGTGGCTTTCTGGAATTTGGAAATGTGAAAAGTAAAATTGCCTACTTACGTGAAAACATATTAGACCACAGATGGATGTGTCACAAAGCCAGAATACTGCAGGTTTCACTTGCTTCTTGTTAAAAGAAGACGCGATATAATCTGGGTAGAAGCCTGCCCCTCCTTACCTAACAGGTGAGAGGCTGCGCATGGTGGACACATGTCAAAAATCACTCTAAGGTGTCCACAGCCAAGGGAAAAGGCATCTAACTGTATTCTGGTTCCTCTGGAAACCAAGAAGGAACCGCCTAATGTTCATAGGGATACACCAAGGAAAGCAGATCTCTTCTCACTGAGAAAGCACAGAGCAAAACAAAAAAGTACAAGATGGTTTCAGCACTGGGCACCTGAAGCCCTCTAACCAAGAGCCTGTGGACAGCTGGGGCAGCATGGTGAGACTGTCTCAAATAAAAAACATAAATAAAATAAAACAGCAAAAAATATACACACATATACATATACACAACACACCTCTAAAAACCACATAAAATTAAAGACCCAAAAGCATTCAAGAGATGAAAGAGTACATGGTCACTGAGAAGTATGACTCAGTCAGGTGTGGTGGCATATGTCTATCATCCCAGTACTTGGGAGGCTGAGGCAGGATTGCTGTGAGTTCGAGGCCAGTCTGGGCTACCAAGTGAGTTCAGGGCCAGCGTGAACAGCATAGGGAAACCCTGGCTCAAAAAGACACCCCCCCCCCAAGAGTACAATTTAATTCTCAATCTGTTAGCGTGGAAGATAGCCATCATAATTTCTTAAAAGAAGAATTTAGTTCTGATATGTCTCCGAAGCAGGGAATGGTGGCCCATGCCTGTAATCCCAGTATTTGGGAGGCTGAAGCAGGAGGACTGCATGAGTTTGAGGCCAACTACATAGTAAGACCTGGTCTCAGAAAGCAAACAACAACAAAAAGGAACCCAAGCAGAGAAAAAATAATACAAAAACTAAACACACAAAATGTCAAGGATTTTTTTTAAGCAGTGAAATTTCTTAATACAAGAAAACGACTATTTTTATGAACAAGAAAAGTGTTAGTATCATAATGAAACAGAAGCTTCCAGAGCACAGAAGAAGATGAAAAGCCTAATTAGAAAATCAAATTAATCTGGTCATTAAAAAAAAAAAAGCAGCCAGGGGTGGTGATACACGCCTATAATCCCAGCACTTTGGAGACAGACGCAGGAGGATCACTGCAAGTTCAAGGCCAGCCTTGGCTACACAGTGAGCTCAAGACACATATCAATTTCTCTTATGGATGATGAATGTAAAAAAAATTTAAATATGAGTAAAGCAAATTCAAAATTACATTAAAAAGACAATCTGGCATTGCCAGGGAGAATTTATTTATTTTATTTTTTTATTTTTATTTTTTGGGGGGAATTTATTCTAGTTATTTAAGAATAGGCTGATGCTAGGAAACCTAAAAATAAAACCTTATGGTTCTAATGATTAAAAACAGAATAAACATGATGAATCCAGTCCTGGAGAAATTAAAAACAAAACAAAAACAAAGAAAGATAACTAACAATAAAATCATGACTGGTAGACTGCATTGTCATTTAACATGGTCTGCAAGTTCTAGCCAATGCAAAATGAAAGCCTGTCTTGCAGGTTAATGGATTTGTACTTGGGAAAGTTAAAAGAATCAGTTGAGGGGCTGGGGATTTAGCTCAGTGGGTGGCATAAGCGCCTGCCTTGCAAGCAGGCAGTCATGAGTTCGATCTCTGGTACAGAAAAAGACAAAAAAAAATCAATTAAAAGATTACTTGAAAGAACAAAAGAATTCAGCACACTGATCAAGCATGAAAAAATTAAATACATTCCTAAATTTTACATTTTCTAAACTATTACTTTCTAACTTCACAAAATCTAAAATCTCTGCATCCTCGCGCCTGGCACATGTAACTACAGTAGACACTGCTGGAGGAATGAACGCATGAATGAGTAAGAGGAAATATTCAGTATTATAAACACAGTAAGTTTTTCCCACTTTTTATTTGAGAGGCACTGGGAATGGAGGCCCAGAACAAGATTTTCTTTAATGGCGCTTCACAAAACTACTCTGAAAGTTAGGCTGTATGAAGAAAAAAAATGACATCATAATAAAGGGACCCCTAAATAATCAGATATGACGTCATTATTAAAAAGCAACAGGAATGTGACACCGTCAGCTGCCACCTGTGTCGTCAGTGCGACAGAGCAGAAGGCCTGGGCACCCTGCAGCTGTGTCACAGTTTAATGGGTGAGATATGTACACTGCGCATCTCAGCAAATGGGAAACCTGGCAAACGGGGAAAAATAAAACTGAGACATTACAACACACCACAATAGCACACCACAAATGTGAAGAGTAACATTCTACACATTTACACACGCACACGCACACCCAAACACAACACAGCCTTAGATATAGGAAGGTTTGCAGACCTCCAGGCTGAAAATCATTTAAGTACCAAACCGGTCATGGTAATAATGCATGTTTTTAATTCCAGTGCTTGGGAGGCTCACTCAGAGTTCAAAGCCAGCCTGAACTACACAGCAGGATCCTGCCTCAAAACACCAAAAGAGAAAAAAGAAAAAATCACCTAAACACTAATTTTCTTCTGGTATTACCTTGGGTGTCTTTTCGCCTCTTCTTTCATACTGATTTCGTTGTTGAATTTTCTCAGCAATGTCTTGGGCAATTTGACAGGTGGAATCGTACGTGGAGAACCTAAATCAAAGTCGTAAAAGAGAAAGATGTGTAAGAAAAAAGAAATTCTTATGAACAGACACAATGCCACATGCCTATAGTCCCAGCACTAGGGAGGCTGAGACAGCAGGATCATCATGAGTTTGAGGCCAGCTTAGGCTACACTGAGTGTTTTAAGGGCAGCCTGTATTTCATAGGGAGATCCTGCCTCAATAAACCAGAAAAATAATTTTTAAAAAAACATAGAAATTCTGCTGAGTTTTTAATTCTAGCCACAGATTCAAACAGGAAAGAAGGGTAATAAACAGACAGGCATAGCAGTACATACTGAAAGGCACTTATTACGGCCGGGCACCCTTCCAAGTGTTTTATTTGTAACCACTCACTCAATGCACTCAAGAACACACAGAGTGGGCGCCGCTACCACCCACATCTAGAGGCAGCCTGGCTCACCCAGCCGGGACCCCAGCAGAACAAGGCAGCCTGGCCAAAGTCCGGGGCTCTAACCACCTTGGTACTGGGCCGTGATGAAGCATTTTCATAGTAACAAACATTCCTGGAAGGCCTGCGCTGCACAGACCCCTGTCTGGGTGCTGTAAATGAACAGACCCGTGAACAAAGCATGCAGTCCCCACATAAACAGGCTGTATGTTGGGTGCTGATGCCCGCTAAAAAGAACCTGCAGCAGGATAGAGAGTAATCAGGAGCTGCCAGGAAGACTGGTGACCCTCAGGGGAGGGGAGGAGTGGGTCATGCAGACTCAACGGTGCAAGAGCGACAGGCACTGTGCATCCTGGTGGCAAAGGTTACACATCTGCCTGACACCGGAGTCTGCTAGAATTCTCTCCAAACATTTCTTGACCTCCCACTGGCTGTCTCAGCGCTGGAGCTGTTGAGGGGCTCACAGTGAACCCCCAGCGGCCCTGGTCTTTCCCTCTGTTACAGCACCTTCGCTTGCTTCAGGAAAATACTTAACCATGCACAAGTGTTTCATTTCTCCACCAGCCGGTCTGTTTCTAAAGGTGAGGACCCGCTGCGCTTACGTGATGAGCATATTTGAAATATCAAAAATCGCTGTTTGCCTTAACGTCCCAGTTTTTGCTTGAGAAAAGAAAACAATCCATGTCCAACTCCCATGTAACACTTGTGCATGGAGGGAACTCGGTAAATGATGTTTTGCTTTGTTTCGTTTTGGAGATAGGGTTTGGCTATGTTGCCCAAGCCAGGCTCAAGATCTTGGGCTCCAGGGATCTTCCACCTCAGCCCCCCAAGGAGCTGAGGCGACATGCACCAGTAGTAATCTTACTAACCCTAATAAAATACATTACACACACACATAACATCATTCATATATATTCAAGGATACATGTGGATGAAAACAGAGCAGGGAAGACCACACATAATTACGAAAACAGAAAGCGAGTTGGGTCCTGGTCCCAGCCTCAGCATATTTTGCTTCTTTTCCTCCACGCTGTCATCTATAAAACAGCAGCTTAGTTTTGGCTCTGTGGTCCCAGATCAAACAGGGAACAATCCACAACAAAACCCTGCCACACATTAAGTCTGAGTATTTCTGGAGCTGGGAGATGGAGAAATTACTGTCGGCTACGGCACTCAGCTAGGCTGGCCCCGAGGTGACATCTTGAGTTGACTGAGGTTAATGCAGGCCTGTGGTTCAGATGCTGAGGAGCAAAGCACGCTCTGCGTGGTGCGAGGCGTGCAGAACAATCACATGGGAAAGCACGACAACACGCCAGGCATGTTCAGCGGGGGCTGCCGTGGTAGAGAGTGAAGCAGAACACAGCGGAGATGCTGCAAGCTAGTCTCCGCAGAGCCTGGAAACCAGCATAACACTGCTGGGCTTAAAGGAGAATGTGAGAGCCCGGGGGACTCTTTAACACGTAAACAGGAGCCTTGAAAAGCTTACGTGAAACGCGGAAGGTCACACAGCTAGCACAAACTGCCAAGCATCCTGCCTGCCTTCCCCCAGTGCCTGTTCTTACTCCCATCTTAACAGCAGGATTCTCAAATTTGGCTGCACCTTTAAATCACAGGGGAACTTTTTTTTAAAGAAAGCCCGGCTGTCATCCCACCCCCAAGCACGATGATTAAATTAGGTTTGACCCAGGTGTGTGGAGTTTGGAACACTCCTCACCTGTTTCCAATCTACAGCAAAGCTTGAGGAACGCCGGCCCAGTAATAACGGACAGAGTCCTCAGGATGTCAGCCACAGAGGTGCTTAAATTATTGTTTAGGAAAATTAATCTGATTTTTTTTGAGATAGGGTCTCACTTTGGTAGTGCAGGCTGGCCTTGAACTCACAGTGATCCTCCAGCTCAGCCTCCAGCGCACTCGGTGTGCAGCACCCAGCCCAGCTCAATTGACATGAATAGAAATGAGAGAAAATTAGAAGGTAGCAACAGGAGGCTAGCAGAGTTCTCAGATTATTAAATTCTGCACCCAATTACCAGTACTTACTACTTGCAAAATACTAGGTTATAAAGGGCTGGATGATGGTAGAAATGGACACCAGAAAGGGGTTATCAACAATTTGTAAAAGAAAGAACCAATGGGAATTAGTGAATACTCTGATCTAAGGAGTGAGACAAGTGAACAGTTATGTGTTCAGGAGGAAGTCACTGAAAATATAGTGATGCCCCCAGACATGCAGAGGGACTGGCAGGAGCAAAAGAAATTTCCAGACTGGGAGTGAGGCTTCTGCTTTGACCAGAAAAGCAGTGGAAGGACAGGTACATTAGTATGTGTACAATTTAAAGCACAGCTAAAGAAAAAAATGATGTGAACAGCAGCGATGAAAAGAAAATGGCAGAACAGTGATAATCACAAAAACTGAGTGATACAAACGAGTCCATTATACAATTCTACCGCAGTATTTGCAATAACAGTTTAAAAAATAAACCACCCACCCCCTCCCCTCCCCTGCAAAAAACCGCCAATCCTTAGCAAGTCCAACCAGGATACTGAGGTCTAACCCTTTTTTCCAGGAATGGAGCCAGGCACTGTGGTGCACACCTCTAATCTAGGCTGAGGTAGGAGGATCACTAGGAGTTCTAGGCCAGTCTGAACTATAGAGACCCTGTCTCAAAAAACAATAATTAAGGATAGAGAGAACATGGCGGACAGACAACAGCAACTACTGAACGCTCTCTAAAGGCTCGGCTCAGAGGCCAGGAATGATGCGGACTAAGGAGATACGAACCAGTAGAGATATGCTCTGCTGACTCAGGAACGAACTGGGCTGAGAGAATCCAACTTGGAATACAGTCCTGGCGCTAAAATAGGAACAGAAAAATCTCGGTGTGGAGGCTCGACTCCGCGCCATTGGAAACCGCGGTTTGGATTTCCCGCCGCCCGGCGGCCGGCGCCTCCACAGCGGCTCGGCAAGGAGAGACGCGACTGCCGAGCTCTGGGAACGGGAGTCTGGGAACGGAATCGGAAACGCGACGGACAGGGAGGAAGGCTGACTGGTGGCGAGGTGAGCGAGGAACTAACTCCCTACCGCAGTTTGACTCCAGCGGAGGTTTTTTCTGGGCGCGGGCAGTCCTGTAAGAGCAGGGCGCGGTGGCAACTCCAGCCACACATTTCCCTCTCGGACGGGACTGGTGAAAAGTGCCTGGCCGGAGGGACGCTGCTCGCGGACTCCCTAGGCTGGCCTAACCCAGATCCCAGAGCCTGATGGTGGCCCGGAGGAGCGACCGACTCCCGCGTAGGCTGCCTCCTCCGCAACTCCCTGGGGCGCAGCGGTGGGCGGGAACAACTAGCCAGCGCAATTTGATCAGGCTGTGGCTGACAGGCAGGGAAGCCGGGCCTCCTGTGTAAGATTACATTTTATAAGGAACAGAAAATATGGGGAAGGGAAGCAACAAAAAAGGCTCCTCGGCCCCCAATCCTGAGAATCAGGCAATAGTGGACACCGCACCAATATACATTAAGCGCCATTTAGAGAGCCTCATAGACCAATTCAGGAATGAAGTTATCAATGACCTGAAGCTAGAAGTATGCAGAATAGTTAGAGAAATGCTAAGCACCACCCAGGAAAAAGCAGATGGTGGAATGGAAGAACAGAAAAAGAGGGGAGAATTGCTTGATGGAGAAAACAGAGAAAGCATTGAGTATGTGAAGCAGGTTCAAAGGGACTATCAAGAAATCAAGAAGTCTACCCAAGACTGGCATAACAGCTTGAAAGAAACTAAGGACAGACTATCTGAATTGGAGGGCAGACTTGAAACATGGGAGAATGAAATGAAAAACTTCTTAAAAATAACAAAGAAACACACAGCAATAATACAAAGACAAGAAGATGATAAGAGGAGCCATAACTTAAGGATTAAGAACATAAAAGAAGAAGTAGGGACACAAACAAGTGAACTACAAAAGCTACTCACAGAAATAATCCAGGAGAATTTTCCTAATTTAGCAAAAGGTAAAGATACTCAAATGTATGAGGCATACAGGACCCCAGCTACCTACAACCCTAACAGAGAAACACCCAGGCATATAATAATAAAAATTCCAGAAATTCAATACAAGAACAGAATATTAAAAGCTGTAAGAGACAAGAAACAGATCACTTACAAGGGAAGACCCATCAGAATTACAGCAGATTTCTCTTCACAAACCATCAAATCACGAAGAGCATGGGGAGAAATAATTCAAGCTTTGAAAGATAATAATCTACAGCCAAGATTGAGATATCCTGCACAACTGTCCCTGGAAATTGATGGAAAAACGAGGTGCTTCCAAGATAAAGAGGAACTGGGGGAATTTGCAACCACCAATTCAACCCTACAGAAAGTATTGCAGGATATTCTAAAAAAAGAAAAATACAAAGAACCCAGAAATAGGGGCGGGGAGGCCACAACGAATGGAGCAGAGAACAAAATGAAGAAGACAAACTGACAGCTACTGACAGAAAAAGAGCTCAACAGAAATGAGACAGAGAAGATTGGATGATAGGAACAGCTTTTTTTGGAGAAAATGACATCTTAATAGGTAATGCTGATTTAGTACCATCTTGTATTGAAGTCTCATCTAGCTTTTGTTCTTCTGTCTCCAATGGTCTAAACAGGTTGTATCTTATTGGATTTTGCTATGTACGATAGTATAAGAAAAAACCTTTTAAAGGCAAGGAGATTATACAGAGACCATTGTTCATTTTCTGTTAGTCGATTCTAAATACTCTATAATGCTGTCATTCTCTTAAATGGATTTACATTGTTTTGATATACTTAATGCTACAGTATATGAAGTTGTACTCAAGGACTTCAGGGAGGGAGTCAATATGGTAACTATTTTTGGGTCAGGATTAGCTGGTGGTGAAACACTATTCTGCTTAAATGGTTATGTTTTGATCTGCCCTGTTTCGCTGTTATGCCCTCTTTTTTCTCAATCTCCACTCCATTATTTACTTTTTTATTTTTATCCATTTAATTAAAGGGAAAAATATAGCAGGATATAATATAGTAACTCACTTTGACTTTCTATTATCTCGATTTGAAGCCCTGTATTACTCTCACCATCTTGTTTTTGACTGAGGTTCCTATATTCTGTTTTGCTGGATAGTATCAGGTTCGAAAGTTTAGGCATCAGCTGAGAAGATAATGAGATTCATTATAACGCCCATTCTCGTTGACTTTTATCTACTTTTGAAGACCTACAATATCTCCAATGTTTTGGTTTTGTCGGTTTTATTCTTTACGGTTTTGTTCAATTGTATTACAACTAATGATATAGGCAATTCTATTAGAAATAGCGGGAGGCATTATGGTAACCATTGTTGATCATCTTGTATTATGTTTTTATATTATCTATTATGTCCACCCTTTTGACTTGACCGATTCTGTTCTGTTATGTCACATTTGGTTTTACTCTCTTCCAAAAAAGCAACAAGAACCGTGGGAGCAATGAAACCCAAAATGTGTAATAGTCACTGTACAAAAGAGAGGTAAAGAAAGTGCTCTAAACTATATAACTGCATGTATATTTAAATGTATAAGATAGAAAATGATATCACAGAGTTTTATTGGATCATTGAACAGAACTGTTTGCAGTATCATTGTTGGAATGTCCACTCTACAAGCTTTAATTTTGTGACTTGAACAATTATTTCTAAGATGGCAATATGTAATCCATTAACTAGTGATTTCCTACTGCGCATTTTTTTATTCTGTAAATCTGTATAACTTGTACCCCTTCACTGTTTTTTTTTCTTTCTTTTCTTTTCTCCTTAAATAAAAATTAAAAAAAAAATAAAAAAAAATAAAAAAATAAAAAAAAAACAATAATTAAAATAAGTTGCTTCAGTAGTAAGGCTAATTAACTTTAGCAAACAACCAGGTCGTACAGAGGCATCACCTATTTCTATTAAACAGTAAGCTTAAGACTTGCTTTGATAAGGCATTGAAAAAGTAACTGCTATATTCTCTAAGTATTAGAACACAGCTCACAAGGAAGGCACTGATTTGCTATGATTTTTAATAACACAGAGACAAAACTGGAATCCCTTTTCCTAGAGTTTTTTGTTTGAGATACAGTCTTGCTAGGGAGGCCACACTGGCCTTGAACCCCAGCGATCCTCCTCTTCAAGCCTCTAGAGGGCTGTGATGACAGGCACACACCATCATGCCCAGCTCCTGGGTTTCCCCAAGTCCCTTTCCCTGTTCCTTTCTACCTTCCTCACCAGCAGCCCGCTGTGTAAGGCAGCGGACTAGAGCACAGCAAAGGTCTGCGTCACTGTCAACTATCAAATGTTTGTCACTCAAACCACTGAGAGTGATAGAAGGGCTACAGTTTTTTGGGTTTGGTTTTGTTTTGTTTTTTTCCCCAAGAGGCATGAGAGTCACTGACCCCTTCCACCAATTTAAATGGGCACCTGGGAGAGAGGGTCCTCCTTACTGCTAAGCTTCATTTCTTTCGTTATGTGTGAACTGTGAGAGTGTGCTTTCAGAAAAGCAGAGAGCAACTTAGCCAAGAGGTATCAAGGGCCTTAAAAATGTTCATAGTTAACCCAACCTGCTCCTGCGACACAAGTCCAAGGAAACAGACGGGGATAAAAGGTCGGTCTTTGGAACAGCAAGTCTCAAAATCACAAAGACAAAACCTCAAGTTATGTTCGTATGACAGTGATATGCACCATAAAAATTGTTTTCAGAAAATATTTAATGACACGGGGAAATGCTTCCAGTTTTGTAAAATATATATATTATATAGAATACTAAATTCGTTGTAAAATTCAGTTATGGCTTTTCCCAAGTAACAAAAGTAACAATGTGATTTATTTTCTTTCTGCAAACATTCTGTACTTTCCAAATTTTCTACCAGTGGTGTACACTATTGTTTTTAAAAAAGCAATATTAAATTAAGCAACTGGCCCAGATAATATAGCTGCCAAGTAATTTTGACCTTGGTCTCTATTCTCCTAAAATCCAAATTATCTGTAACTTAAACAATTACAAACTATGTTACAAACACCAACATAAGTCATATACTCTCAACAAGAATTTCATAGAGCGATAATATGTTATAAGTTATTTAAAAAGTCAAGCCTGTTATGGACAGCAATTTGTTCCTCGGGATTAGAGTTTGTATCTTTTTTTTTTTTTTTAAATTTTTATCCGTACCAGGGATCGAACTCAGGACTGCTTGCTTGCAAGGCAGGCACTTATGCTGCTGAGCTAAATTCCCAGCTCCTGAGCTAAATCCCCAGCCCCGAGTTTGTATCTTTAATCATTCAGTCTTGGGATTCAATTGATGAAATTATAACCCTTATCCACTGGGGTCATTCTGGACTGTTTTTTTGCCTACGTTGTTACTGAAGAATAGTTTTAACAACATCGATGACACTGTTTCAGGGAAGGGTAAAATGTCTTATCCCAAGTGCTTAAATCCCCTCCCGGATTCCGACAAGATTTTTGCATCTAATCTGTATCTAATCAATAGCTGATCTAATCTAAGCAACAGTTATTTGCTAAAGCTGATCAAGGATACTGAACCTCGGTTTCTCCAACGAAGAGGTTTTAGCAGACGGACTGGCAGTTCTCAAACAGGGTATTTCTACCTCACTTTTACGGAAGTCCAGAGAAGTCTGCACCAGGCAACCCCACAACCAGGATAGGGCAGGAAATGCCTGCGGCGAAAAGCAGCCCAAAACGGCTGAAGGAATACTCAGAGTTTGGGGTCCTGCCCTCAGTTCCTCAGGAGTCCACCTGGTCCCCTTCCTGGGTCATCTGAACAGGGACCAAGTGTGGTGGGCTGTGGCTTGGCAGGGGTCCCCAGGATCCTCATGATCCCTTCCCTCATCCTGAAAGGCCCTCAGCCTTAAAATTACACAGCTGCCGGCTCCGGGGAGCCCGGCCTGCCCGCACGTTTCCCCGCGCACCGCCGCCCTCACCGCTGGGGCTCACCAGGGGTCCGGTGCCATACTGCAGTCTCCGCCCGCCGCTCCAACACTTCCTGCTCCAGCAGCTGACTACGGCGGCCCGCGTGGTTCACTCCTGAGAGGTTCGGCCGCTGCGCGACTGGAGTTTGCAAAGTAAATGCTTTACTTTAGAGTCCCCGAGCTGTAGCCGAAACAACACCAACAACAACAAAAAAGCATTTAGGGGTTCCTACTAGGAGATGCCAATTGCTAGGTGAAATAAAAATAAAATCGTTGAACGGAGTCGAAGGGGTTTTCCCAAGAAGGTGAGAGTGCTTCCAGAGACTTTCAAGACCGCTTTCTCGCAGTTCCATAAAATTTTCATCCTGCTTCCAAAACAAAATAAAATTGATTGTGGCGATAATAAGTTAAGTTACACTACGTAAGTTTTGCTTTGCCAAACCTTTTACAAAGTCTTTAATTTTTTTGCCCTGCTTCAAGCAAAAGGCTCACTCATCAGAGACAATTCACTTTTCAAATGTCAAGTGGCTATTTACTTATATAATTACCAAAAAGTCATAGACCACTCGAAGTAGGGAGGAATTTGGTCTGTGCATTTAGTACCCACCCTACTATATGTCCCTTAAATTTGCAGAAAATAGATAAAGGATGCCCTCGCTCCATTTGCAAGAGGGCAAGTCAACGCCAGCCCCCCAAATGGGTTAGGGAACGTAGACCAGGTGCGCATGCGCACGTCCGTTACCATAACGACCAGGAAACGCTGCAACCTCCCGGACCCGCTAGTACTAAAAGAATTTGTGAGTTCAGCATCTCCCCGAGATGGGTGAGAAAATTTCGCCCGAGGCCGAAGACGTGGCAGAGCTGGAACTTGAGGCTGTGATTGGCTTCAATGGTGAGGTCTCAAGCGTCTGCGGCTGGGTGGCTTAGGAACCCTGAGGACGTGTAGCGCCAACAGGGACAGTGAGAACCCGGTGGCCTCTGAAAGACAGTGTGGGGCAGTGACAAGGGTCCTGCCAGGGCCAAGCACCGGGCACCAATATCCTCTGCTGCCCTAGGGTCTTAGAGAGTCACGCCCTTACCCCCAGCGCCAGGGAGCTCAGTCAGCATCAGTAGCTCGGACAGAACTACACCCAGGGCCGACGGATGAGAAGAGCGTGCTAGGGCCGCCCTCCCAGTCTCCGGGCTGCACACCGACCCCAAAACCTCGGGCTCTGCCGGATGCTGTGTGTGTCACCCCAGAGACCAACTCACAAAGCTGCTAAACTTCTGGCTGTCGTGCGCTGAGAAAGGGATATAAGGATCTGAAAGGTTTCCGGCAAGAAATAGAAAAGAAAGGGACGCCAGAGGGAGCTGGAGCGACGATTCTGATGGGGCAGAGGGTGGCGCCCTGGAGCACATTTTGTGCCTGCCTGCGTGTTGCTCAGAACATTAGGCCAGAAAATGCTGTGTTCTTTGGTTTGCCTGGATTTGGTTTGGTTTGGTTTGGTTTGGTTTGGTCTGGCTTGGCTTGGCTTGGTTTGGTTAAGGGATTTTTTTTAAAAAAGCTACTTATTTTAGAAAATGAAAGTGTTTAATAATGTAATTAAGTAGATACAGAATGTTTAATAATGTACTAAAGTAGATACGGAAGAATCATTTACAAAAACTTAAGCACATTTTAGGACTTAGCTCTTCAATCTTCATTTTTACTTTAACACTGACAGAAAGCAAACACTTTATAATTTGAGGTGTTGACCATTTGTTGATTTTATTTTATTTTGTTTTTTTGATACTGGGAATCAAACTCAGGACCTTGGGCTTACCAAGCAGGCATTTATGCCACTAAACTATATCCCCAGCCCAAGACCATTCTTAGAGACCTTGCAAGATACTTGGTGAAAGTATTGAATGGTTTCCAGTTACAGGATCTCAACTCCAGCCCAGACCAGATCAGAATTTGCATGTGAACAGAATCCCTTAGGAATTTCAGGCACATTAAAGTTTAAGTTAAGAAATACCACACTAACCCTCTTGTCTTTGGGATGAAATTACTTATTCTACCCTACTTATTTTAAGAGAACATAGGCTTTTTTAAAAGATGTTTTCCTCTTTGTAGTCTAGTAAAATATTACCAGTCACTTCTGTCCTAACTCTGATTTTTATGTGTTTTTGTTGTTGTTATGTGTTTCTGAGACAGGTTCTCCATGTGCATAGTCCTGGCTGGCCTAGGACTGACTATGTAGCCCAGGTTGATCTCAAACTTGAGATCCTCCTGCCTCAGCCTCTGAAGTGCTGCTATTCCAGGCCTATGCCATCGTGGCTGCCCCGACTGTAATGATTTTTAATCTCTCTCTTTTAGGACATGTTCCCAATGGCCTCAAATGCCATCCTGACCAGGAACATCTGCTTTATCCCCTGGGCTGTACCGTACTCATTCAGGCAATAAATACTCCAGAGCAGAATTTCCTGCACGGTCACAGTAACAACGTCTCCTGTTTGACCATCTCCAAGAGTGGAGATTACATTGCCTCTGGTCAGGTCACCTTCATGGGGTTCAAGGTGGGTAGAGAAGTGCCTTCCTAGAAGAACTGGGCATGCCAGGCCCTGGGCCCTGCACTGCCAGGCTGACGTTCTGCCCTTCCTGCTTCCTTTTGACCTTTTGCAATTTATTTGCGTTCCTTTGGGCTGCCAGGGAAGGAATCTGATGTTTTGACATCAGACCTGGCAGCTCACGACTGAGGATGTTCAGGAACAAAAGTCCCTGCTTAAAACGATTTCCACTTTGTGGTCTGCCCATTTACAAACCATGGCCTCGTTTCTGGAAGGGTGACGTGACTAATCCTTTCTCCGCAGAGGGGTGGCCGTCCCTCAGATTCTTACACCTGTCCGGGACCTGACGGTGTATTCTCCCCCGCAGGCAGACATCATCTTGTGGGATTATAAGAAAAGGGAGCTGCTTGCTCGGCTGTCCCTTCACAAGGGCAAAATTGAAGCTCTGGCCTTTTCTCCAAATGATTTGTACTTGGTGTCACTAGGAGGCCCAGATGATGGAAGGTAACGAATCAATTCTCCTTGCTTGCTTTTCACCAGATCTAGTTCCAGATGTGCTAAGATAGTATCCTGCCCCCTGTAATGTCCTCTGTTGGCCCAGCTCAAGGTGTCCCCTGTTTGAGTGCTTAAGGTGTGAAAATCCTATGGAGAAGATTCCATACGATCGTGGCTCTCAGCTCCGGGTGCACACTGAACTCAGCTCTGAGCCCTGGCAACCTGCGGACACAGAGCCTGGCTCTGCCTGAAGAGCTCTGGTTGGTGCCCAGGATCTAGGAATTATAAAAGCTTCCAGGTGGTTGCATGTGTGTCTACATTCAAGAACCACTGCTGTAAAACAAAGACCCTGCTCACAATCAGGATGTCGGTTCCTAACTAAAGATGACAGCTAAGTCGTACTAGGTGATGAGTGTGTGCTGGGCTCTTTCATTGGTTACACTCTCGCATGCAAGCTTCACAACCACTCTTTGAGGTGGAATCTACTGGTGCCCAGTGACAGCTGAGGAACTAAAGTTATCAGCCAGGAGGTGACAGAGCTGGGTGACAAAACTTTTCTTGTTTGAGCTCCGTGCATGTGTTACAAAGTCTGCATACTGACAGTTCTCTTCATAGACAGGAATTCACCAAATTTTTCATGATTTTTTTCCTTCTTTAGTAGGCATTTGTAGATGATCCCATCATCTCTGGACCAGATGAATGTGTTTGTTGGTGGTGGTTTTTGTGGGTGTTCATTTGCTTGTCTGTGTGTTTGTACTGGGGATCAAACCAGGGATGTTCAGTCACTGAGCTATATCACTAGCCTGTTTTATTTTATTTTTATTTTGAGCACAGTCTCACCAGTTTACCTAGAGTGGCTTCAAGTTTGAGACTCTTCTGCCTCAGCCTCCTGAGTACCTAGGATTACAGCTGTGTGCCACTGAGCTTGGCTCCCATTTATCTGTCTTTAATGAATAACATATCCTGATCCCATCTGTTAATAGTCTAACCTCAACTTAAAGCAGTCCTTCTCAACCTGAGATGCGCGTTGCAGTTACCTGAGAAGACCTGAAACATTCTGATGCCAGCCCTGGCGATTCTGGGAGCTTGGCCTAAAGCCACTCATCTCTACACCCCGCCAGGAAGAGGGGGTTGGAAAGGCTGTCTACAATGTGCTTGTAGTGAATAGAAGCACCAGTGAGAGAAGGCAGCGGACAGCGCTGCGCTAGGAGAATGCGGTCACCAGGATGAGCAGGGCAGGTCTGCCGGCTGACGTCAGACAGTCAGGGCTCCACCATGAGCCCCGGCTTCTGTGCAGAGGGAGAGAGAGAGAGACGGAGGGAAGGTGCCGGCCACAGCAGACTTGCTACGGCCTGTCTCCCTGTGTGTATCTTTTACGTTTTGTAACCTACTCATGAAACTTCTCTGTGTCAGTGTTAATACAATCCATGTTGTAATCCAGCTGACGCCGAGGACACCTTCTATGTATATTTCATCCTTCTAGACATACGTCAGTCTTCTCAGTGACTGCATGCAGTTCCACTGTCAGATGGCCAGAATGATTTGGCCAAAGTACCACATACGTTAGTGCCCTTTATTGATTTTTAAATTTTGAACTTGCTTCTGAAAAAGTAAAGCTATATTTGCCCAAGGTTTATAAAGAAATTGTGTTATCTTGCTATGCAAAATGACCCCAGATCCAAAAGAATAAGACTTCTGATGCCACTCCCTGTGTCCCCCCAGCGGGAAGCCTTCTACTCTCCAAAGGCTTTTGGAGTCTTGTTTGCTTTATAACTTTATTGAGGCATATTTCATCTGCTATACTATTTACCCATTTAAAGTAAGTTGTGTGGTTTGTAATGCACTTACGGGATTTCCAACTATCACTACCATCAAGTCTAGAATATTTTCAACACCCAAAAAATAAACCCCGTTAACTGACTGCCTCCTCCTTCCAGCACCAATCTGCTTTCTGCCTCTATAGATCTGCCTGTTCTGGGATTTCACATTAATGGGATCATACTGTGTGTAGCCTTTTATGCCTAACTTTTCACTATGCATAGGATTTTCAAGGTCATCTACTTATGGTATGTCATTATTTTTATTGGCAAATAATATTCTAATAATATTGTATAGTTAGGCCACATTTTATTTGTCCATGTATCAGTTGATGCAATCATTTGGGTTTGTTGTTGTTCTTGTTGTG